GGCGAGGCCTGGCCCTGCGGCGCGGGGAGCGCCCCTGCCCACGGCGCAGCTGGTAATGCTTTCACAAATGAGGGAAAAGTAAAACGAAGCCCTTGCGTTGTTTTTTTTTTTTTTTTTCCACCAAAAAGCTTCATACCGATCCAAGCGGGCTTTTTCCTGGCGTCGTAAAACTACCGTCATCTGATAACGGTATATCTGCAGAGGAAATCAGTGAAGCAGGGGCACTGAATGAGAGGCCTGCCTAGGAAGAAAAAAACAGAGAGGAACGCAACCAGGCTAAGGCTGGCATAAATGTCACCAGAAAAGCTGAGAAACTGGAATAAAAGGTCAGCTCCCTTCTAAAGACACGTGAAAACAAAGGCCAGAAAAAGAGCACAGTACCATTTTACGTATTTGACCAAGCCAAGCGACTTCAGCGAGGTCCTTGGGAGACTCGGGGTACGTGTCTTTCATGTTCCGCACAGGAAACGGCAAGGCACTGCCGGCGCTCCTGATCTCTGCGCTATCACAGAACTGATTAAATCAGGTAGGCTCCGAGGATCCTGCAGTCAACGTGCCTTTCTCGGGCTGCAAATGAACATGAAACCCCACCGTGGTTTCATGCTAGCTTGGCATGGGGAAAAACCTTCTTGGTCCCAGATCTGGCCGTCAGCTTAACCCTGCGCGTGTGAGCAAGGTCAGCCAGGAATCCAGAGCAGCATCGCGTTAAGGCACCACCTCGTCCTGTTTGGTGTCACATTTTGTGGTTTGGCCAGCCTGATGTCTGATGAACGATTACGTCGTAAAGGTGTTACTAAGAGGTCCTAGCTAAAAGGCTTAAAACGTGGATAGTGTACTGAAAACTGTTTGTATTTGAAGGAATAGGGATCGGAACATACATCTGAAACAGAATAGGTGAATACACGTTTTGAATGGCTGAAATGAAACTAGAAAAAGAGCGCCTCTTCCCGAGATACTTCTGCTCAGTCTGTCTCAGTAAGCTGTGACCGCATCCTGTTGTGCCTAGAAAAGGCCAAACTATGAGGATGTTAACAATAAGATAGTTATCTGAGAATTGTCTAGGAGAGAATCTGAGCAACCTCCAACTCAAAAAAGAGGAAGCAGGGAAATGCCATATGTTTTAGATTTGATACAAAATAGAAGAAAGGCCTATCAGCACCATTTAAAATATTTTCTAGATGGAGAGACAGAAAAAAGCGAATTAATATTGCATGAAGAGAAAGGCTCTTACTTCTGAGAAGATTGTCCTTTAAAGATACCACTGAAAGGTGAGGGAGGTAAGCAGGTTTGCAAAGCACACGACAGAGACTCACTCAGAAGGTGAAATTCATTATGCCTGAACCCTAGTTTTCCCTGTACTTATGCGGCCCATTCTTCACAGGCCTTTGGGAAAAGCATGGCTGGTATGCAGTAAGATAGCATAGTTAAGGGTCTGAGAATTAGTGGAGTATTTAAATTGTGGTATAGCCTGCTAATGGATGAATTGCATTATTAGGTATTTCATTAACTGAATGACCGAACTGACAAAAACTGCCTGATTGTCTTTCTTCCATGACATGAGGTGCCTCAAGGATGAAACAAGCTCCCAACACATTAAAATAATAAATCGAAAATGCATTAGTTGAAAATATTAAATATTAAAGTAAAACCACTTGAGTGTAAAATGTCCTATGTCTTGGTTATTTTGTTTGATGGCTTAAGTTTGTATGACAAGGGCAGCCATTATAACAGGAACAAAAGTGAGCGCTCTAATTAAAATTACAAACTAATTTCGTGTATAATGGCCTGTTTTTAGGGATTTATGACTTTTTGAAACTCCTATTTTTGACTACAATTTTCATGGCGGATGTCTAACTGAAAGCAATTCTGTTGGTGTTGATACCGCTGTAAGGCCTGTTGGTTTGTGTGAAGAAGGAAAAGAAAATCATCTTTTTCCTTTAGTTAAACCCCATAGGCCTTTTTCCTTTTTCAGAACTCAGGAAGTCAAACTCTCAAGCTTGACAACAGAGATGAGATATGGGGGTGTATTCCTCACACAAAAGCCACGTTCTACTTTTTTCTAGGGTCGAGTAGACAAAGAGTCACTTTATGTGCCACCCGGCACATACATGAGGACGGCTGCTCCAAAAGATTAAGATTCACGACATGGTGCCACCAGCTCGCCACCCTCCCTCACATTTTCCACAGCTTTAAGTTCCAGCTGCAGCACCTTAGGAGCCACGGCAACAACAAATGGGTGTAGTTGCTGCCTAAAATGGCTTTTCTCCCAGCTCTGTTGGCCCCTTTCCATTCCTTGGGGCAGTCGAGCCTGGTTTTGGAGCAAGCATAATTATATCAGGGCAAACTTACATTGTTGTCTCATGAATCTAGGAATACCTGTCTAGGCGCTTGAGGATTCTTGCTCGTAGTTCACTTGGCTGATAGTGAGAGCGCTACATTGCTGAGAGACGCGTTTTTGAAAGAATCAGGCGTTTGGTGTGGTCCCTGCTGCTTTTAAGGTGCTGTGTTTAATTGACTGTAATCATTCTGTACATTTCCAGCAACATATACAAAATTCCCAAACCAAGATGAGCTTTGTTATAATGCAGGGGGCTATTAAGCAATCTGTACTTTTGCGCTAACCGCTTTTGCTGCTCTTTGTCTTGGAGTTTAAGGGTGCGTGTTCAGTATCTATCTTTCCGCACATTTATACCGTGCGTTTTCTCATGTTATTTCAGTGCCGTTATCTGCTGGTTTTCATTCATACCGTTCACGTGCACTTTATTTGTAGCCTTATGAACTACAGAACTAGTACTCTTGTTTACAGTAGAAACCCAAGATATTTTCCTTCTCCACCAGTAAAACTGATAAAAATTTAAGCTATGTTTTCTCACATCGTAATCTTTAACATAACAGTGTGACAAGCCAGTTGTGCTTATGAGGTGTTGACTGTCTTCAGCTGATGTTTTTTTTCTTCCTTCAGTTCTAAACATACGTGTTCTGACAGAACTAGAATATAAACATTTCTTTTCTTTGTAGAGGATTGTGGCATGAAAGAAGAGTATAAGCCATTCTAAGGCTGACAACATCACATGCAGAAATGTTCATTTATGCATAGGATGGAAAATGACTTCAGGGGATGCACGAATAATGTATAATATATGGATATGTGCATAATGATATGTAATTATTTCCAGTACACTCACTGTCAAAGAAAGATTGTCAAGCATGTGGGCAATACTTCTGATGATTTGATTAGTTTAACTGTATACCAACCTCCCAGCCCCTGAGACGTCACTATTTTCTCTGGACAGGCCAGAGGAAAAGCTTCCAGCTTCATCTTTGGGATGAATCTTTTACTAGAAAAGTATTTTGCAGGGAAGAAATAGCTCCTCCTGAAAAAATCCCTTTGCCTGAATTTAGCAACGTGCAGCTTTATAACAGTAGAAGCAGTCCAGACTCCCCTTAAGCCCTCCCTTTACTCTAACAAGATCTATTTTATAACTAGGCCATACCGCTTTCTTAATTCTTTATCTCTTGGGCAGCTGCTCTTCAGTCCCAACTAGGGACTGTTACTGATTCCTGAAGCAGTGTCTACTGATCACATAGCAAGTTAGTATTTATTTTGGAAATTAGAACAGGGAGTGTGATTTTATTGGATTTGAAAGCTGATTTTTTTTTTTTAATTTTGTGCTCAGTGTACAAAATTAAAATAATTTAATTATCTGTCCAGATAAAAAAATACCAGCTTCTCATTTTTTTGTTCTCCTCCCTGTTTTCTTTCAGGAGAGAAGCTTAATGGAGGAGCCTTGCCTAGTATGCAAGGGAACACAAATTGTCTGCATCAAGTGGTAATAAGGAAATATTGTTTATTCTTTGCAGAGATGAGAAAATCTTTTCCAGGTGAGATTTAGTTTCTTTTTATAGTGCTGTTGATAGAGCATGATGACACTGAGAAACATCTGTGCCAGGGAACAAAAA